GAATACGATTACATTTCTGTTAGGAATCGTATTTCAAGTTCTTGTTATTTACACTATCTACCTTTTTCTTCCGAGCCAAGCGTCGCGATTCCCGACGAATGGCCTTGCAAGTTGCATGCTTTAGGCATTGATTTATATGTTACACTAGATAAGTAATTTCCGCGCCAAAGCGTTGTCACTTCACATAAGGCCACAGCCTTATACTCAGCGAACGTCGGTTCAGTGTTCAAGGTGACGCCGTCCGAGTTAAGCCGAACGATTCACAACAAAAAATGGGTAAATGCGTAGTGAAAGAATGCGTTTCAAGGTCACAAAAACATAATAAATCAAGCGGAATCACTTTCCATACGTAAGTTTTAATTTATATATTCATATTAACGTTTAAAACACTAAAAAATTAAATAAAATATCGAATATTGCAATTTAGGTTCAATGTTGCCACTTTTCCACCTTTGTGATTTTTCCACATTAATGGGAGACTGTATAATTTATGGAATAAGTTAATTTTGTTTTAAAATAAACAAGTAAAATTGATTGCTTAAAAATAAAAACTATGTTTCAACCTTTATACAAAATAATTATTCTTATTTTATTTTATTCATGAATTATCTATTAAATATATTTTACTACCTTATATCTTATATTAATAATTTTATATTAATTAAAATTTCATATAAATTTTATATTAATTATATTTCACTACCTATTTTATATTACTTGATTTATTAGTACAGTAAAAAATATTTATAAAAATATGTTTTATTTCATCATTATGTACTTCTAACTCATCTGATAAGCTTTGTATTCTTTTTTTCTAAGGGGACGCAATAAAGATTTTAAAATAAAATATACTTTCTTAATATAAAAACAATTAACTGAAGCTTAAAAAAAACTCATTTTTATTGCGTATTTTAGGTAAAATTTTATATAGTAAGCCACACCAACCCGCCATTGCATGTTTGTGTGTCTATCTTTATCTAATTTTAGCGACGATATTGTTTACGTAACTTGTGTAAGTGAGATAGATATATGTTTATTTAAAATTGTTATTAGTTTCAAAGCTACGTCGTCGCGTTTGGATAGTGGTTACACATTTTTCGACGCGCGGTAATGTGGTTTGCTCCTCTAGTTGTATAACTCAATGGCTTTAGGCATCGCAGAACTTACATAGGTGCGAAAATATGGTCAGTCGATCATAGTCAGAATAGGTATTTCACCTAAGTAACTTAATTAACATTTCGCAATGTATTTTGTTACTCTTTATTGACATCCCTTAGTAAGAACGGAAAGTCCACCGTAACTTAGCAAGGGGAAAAGATGCAAAGTAATACGGATACTGTCGCGCAGCGATAAAGTTTTATTTAGTGTGCGAGCACGATTTGTCTAATTAATAATAATTATGTAGGCTATTAAACGTCGGCAAGCAGTCAGCATCAAAACATTGCAACTTCTGTACGTAGTACTATTGTTTATTCTGTGGCTCGAGGGCTTTTGCATTGGTTGTCTTATACTTCAGATCGGTACAGAGCAATGCAGGTCTTGCTGGGCAGCAGAAATAGATGAGGCATCCTTGTTTTTATTGAATAAGCGTGACAAGCCTACATACAGCACGCCTGATGGTGAATGAGTTGGCCCAAACACATCTACGTCTTATCCTCGATTAAAAACATATAGGGGAAAATCCTAGTGTGGGTCACGTTTTAAAAAAAAAAACATGCTTGCAGGTCACACGCGACAGAAGTCAAACATTGAAATGAAATGAAATTTAAAATACTAATACTTTACGGCAAACGATTTATTTAATATTATAATTTAAACTACAAGACCGGCATAAAATTGAAGGAAATTTAATTTTATAGTAAATAAATGTAACAATCCTTTTAATATATATTATACACATAGATTTTATATTTTCTTTCAAGTAAGATTATAATAGCACCACCTACTTCATTTTATAGCTAGTTGCTTTATCGAACAACTGATTGACACTCAAGGTGGTATATAAAATAGACGCTAGATGGCCTGATTTTTGATAACGTGAATTTTTAATGACTGTTTTTTTTACAACTTGGTTAATTTTATTTGTTAATTTAGTTTTACTGTTTACTGATGCTGCCATGTGGCTACCATTTCTATATGAAAATTATAGGTTATGAAAAGTGAACCATACAGATGGGAAACGCACGAAATTACCTATTACCGGTTTTGATGGTTCTTTTTTATTTAAATTAGTATTACTTGTATTCGTTTATTTTATTACTTATTTTATTTAAACGACATATTTCAATCCGAACATGTTTAAAATATCTAAAGAAGACTTCGACATTGTTAATGTACTTTTAAAAGTACGGGACAGCCACTAATTTTTATGAAGAGTAGATTAATTTCCCTTCGAATGCTTATACTCTTTTCGATACACCTTATATAGTACTACTACTACTACACTACTACTAATTACAAAAAGGTTTATATCAATTTTACCTTTTACTAAGTTGAGGATTGGCCGTTCTTTACTGCTTGTTTATTCCATAGGCACACGACACCTTCGTACCTTGTTGAACAAAACGCTTTAGCGATGCCGTTTCGGTGGCGTTTACGACTTTTACATAATGCTTCCTATCCCATTTTCTACGTATATCTTATCATATATCTTATGAATTTATGTGTCCATCTCTTTTTACTGTCGCTTTTTCGTTTCATAGACTTTCAAATCATAAGGATGCTAACGAAGTTTTCACTTCAAAAAGAACACAGTATTGCATTTTTTTGGCCAGGTACCTCTTTAACCTTGAATAGTATTCTTACTTCAAGAACTCTTAGTCAGCGTCACTAAGCTTGGTCTCGCTGATTATCTTCTTTGTTTACATTTTCGAAGTGAAAACTTCTTTAGAAACGTTGGGATTTGAAACTCGATAAAACGAAAAAGCGACACAAAAAAGGGACAAACATATATACATCTATAGGATTTAGCCTCCGAGAGAATGAGACAGAATACAATATTCAGTGTTTCCAATTACTATCGGTCTTCTCCCTGTGTGGTGCATTAATGATGATGCTTTGAATATGACTTTTAAGTGTTGAAATAAACAGATTAACAAATTTATTAAATAAATAAAATTAACCTTATTGAATAAAATATCCAAACCAATGCATTTAAGGTGCTACTCCTAGTGAACGACCTTGAGCGTTCGTTCCTATACATTCCATGCGCTCTCGATACTATATACCTATATCGCGTAAGAAATACGCGCAAATTTTAAAATATTTTCTTAATAAAATCGAATTTTAGTCCTTTGAAAAAATTAAATAGACCTAAATGTTTATTAATAAATTAACTATCCATTAGTGTCAATTGCAAAATAAAATAATGCTTACTTTGTGAGGAGATGCATGTTATCAATAATTATTTTGCATTTCTGTGGTTTATAGTCCGTTCGCGTTAAGAAAATAGTGAGTCACCAGTGCAACTACAGGGTAAAGGTGTATTCACAGTGGAGTAAAATCTTTTTTTTTTCAAACATTTAATTAAGTTTAATGGAAACAAATTTTCTTAAGATTACTTAAATCACTAATCAGTATCGCTAGATTCTCCAGTTACATTAATTATCAAAGAGTTTTGTTCTGCAAGTTCCATGATGTCATACAAATTCCACATGGTATTTTCTTCACGTATCACGTGGTCGCAGCACTTCTTCCAACGATTAGCGTCTATTAATGCTATTGCGTCATCTAATAATTTTTTTATGTCACTCATTTTGCACGTGGAGTTATTGGCACCAATATAATTTTTTATTTGGGCCCAAAGCAATTCAATTGGATTAAGTTTGCAATGGTAAGGCGGTAGGCGAAGAATTGTAATGCCATTACTTTTGGCAGTCTCATCTATTAAATATTTATTACATTGTGGGGCGATTTCGGCAACTTTCTTTAATAATTCTTTTTTTAAATAAGTCATGTCCATGGATTTGCCTTTGCTTTGCAGCCAATCTATTATTTGCTGCTTGTTCCAGCTGGTTGTTGGTATTTTTTCGACTCTTACCGAATGATAGGGAGCGTTATCCATGACAACCACACTTCCTGGTTCTAGCTTAGACACTATATTAATGAATCAATTAAGGAATCTTTCACCATCCATCTCTTCATGATAGTCTTTTGTAGACTTAGATTCACATACTAGTAGACCATCTTCCACGAATCCTTTGTCGCTGCCAATGTGCAATACAATTAACCTTTTACCTTTTATTTTAATGTGTTAGTATCCTTTTGTTCTTTAATAATTTTATAAACAGTATTTTCGGACACACCACATGCACTTGCTGTTTTTATTACTGTGCTCTCCACAGTCGCATTTAAATCACACAGTTTAAAGTACTTATAAACACTGTAAATTACGCGTCTCTCTCTGGTATGGATTATTGATCCACTTTTATTCTTTCGAATAGATGAGGTATTCATTTTCAAAATTTAATGTTGAACGAGTAACACGCAAAATACACAACCGTTTTGTTCGAAGGCCTGACTTCAACTGGTCACTGTGAACTCGACTTTCTAATTTCTTGCATTTTAATTGGCTGGGGGCCGTGGCCAGGCCGGCTGACAACGATGACTCACTATTTTCTTAACGCGAACTGACTATAGTTGTAGGAAGATTCATCAAGTATTTACTCCTTTAAAAATATTGGAATTGGCTATTATCGAATCAAGATTATGAATACTATATAAACTTGTTTTAATAACAAGTAGATAGCTCCTAAAAACCTGAAAAAATAATGACAAGCACGGCATTTTGCTTAAACACGCACCTTAAACAATCTGCGATTTCATAACTTACCGATTTAGTCATGTTTAGGCCATCTAGCGTCTATTTTACGTATCACATTGAGAATCAATCATTTTTTTTTTCGATAAAATGACAAAGCAATTTTACTCGTAATTTTCGGAAGGTTTCACTTCAACCTTGTGTGAACTGCACTTATGTTTTTTGTTACTGTTGCTTGCAGACAGCTGAATGCCGTGACGGATCCGATGAAAAACTTGGGATATGCGGAACGTTGTCTTTTGTCAAAGTTAGCAATCTCACCAGCGGCACCACAGAGCCTCCTGTGAGCACTAATAAGTAAGTTAAAGCTGTGCATTTCGTTTTATAGATCTGTTGAGACAAGTGGTAAAAATAAAAACTTCAAATTTCAAAACAACCGATTGAGGGTGATGAGGGTATACCGTGGTGGGTATACGAAAAGTGACCAAAGGTGTGGCGTGGCGTAGGATCAAGTTGAACATATTAGCGTGGTTCAAAAGGAACCAGAACAAAATGGTGGACGTGGCAGGTGGCGGACTTTGGACAATACACTTGCTTTGAAATTAATTTGATGTGTTGGCTGATACGACGGGAGATGAGCTGCTGGGGATAAAGTAACAACAAATAAAATAGCTCATAAAGATTTTAGATATCCTCCACGTATGTTTATTGCTTTTTTTCACCGCACGAGCACGTACTTATGAATAATGGTATGCAGCTTACAATTTTTCCAAATTTCTTTATCAGATGTATACTACCTCGTCAACCAGAAAACGGAGTCTATAAGATAATCAGCGATACCAACCCCAGTGACGCTGACTACGTGTACTTGAAGTACGAATGTTATCCAAGATTCAAACTTGTCGGGGAATCCAAAGTCTTATGTTGGAGAGGCGATTGGCCAGAAATAATGCCGTACTGTGTTCGTAAGTTTTATTGCCGTATTATTTTTGGTGGAAACTGTTGCCTTGGGTATATGTTTAGCACTGCTCTTTTTATAGGCGACAAACGAGTACATTTCATCTGATGGTAAATAGATCTATCCTCGATTAAGCATCAAAATACCGATCAAAATTAATGTAACGCATGAGGAGTAAGATGGATTCCATTCTACACTCATCATACCATGAATTGTAAATTGTTGATTATAAGTGAGACTTTAAGAGATATAGTTATTCTATTTCACGATGAAGGGTTGACTTTGGTTATTGTTAGCCGTTGTGTTAGTGTACACATTGTGTTAGTGTGCGTAGGCTTCGGGAGCGCTCAGTCACGATCGCGAGTCAAACGAATCGCAGTTACACACAGGCGCGTTTTTGTGTAACTGCGATTCGTTTGACTCGCGATCGTAACTGAGCGCTCCCGAAGCCTCAAAATAAGTCAAACGAATCGCAGTTACACAAAAACGCGCCTGTGTATAACTGCGAAATAGGATAACTATAAGTTAGCAAATATCACTGAAAATTTTCGAGTGTAGTGTCAAAAATAAGATGCGATACAATATTTTTGGTGGAGGTGTCTGAGGACCACGGAATTCACTTCTTATCAGGTGGAGATTGTATTGATTTCTAGCCTTATTTGTATAATAAAGGGTGTAACTCAGACTTATTGTAATATGGTGGCTTAAGAGAATTACCAAATTTCGTCCCAAGTTTCTCGTTAATGTTTACTTATAAGCATGACATATACGTCAAGCGTAAAATACCTAGACCTATGTCGAGAAGCAGTGTTAAAGTCCTCACGTCTGGTATTGTGATCGTTAGTTTACTTGCCAAGTCTGAATATTAAAGCAAGTTATCCCTATAATGGGATAGGCCTACGTTCCGGTCTGCAATTTCACAGTTTAATGATGATAAATAAGAAGTATGTAAACTAAAGCAGTAATAAGAGTTCATCCTCCTACGCTACCTCTATATAACATTTTATATGTGTCACCATGCATTGCATATTTCAGAAACCTGTCCCTTGGCAAAGCATCCTAGTATAGAGTACCAATGCACCGAAGAAGGCACCGAAATGCCCAGAGAATGCAACGACGAGGAGATCGATGGGACAGTCATCAAGCCACTCTGTAAACAGCCACATTACTACTCCCCCGTAGAATTGCCTTACATGCAATGTAATCAAGGAAGCTGGAGCTCTGGACCTATTTGTGCGGCAGGTGTTAAATTACATATTTTAATAAAAAGTTAGGTGACAAACATAGTTCACTTGATGATATTGTTACGAGCTTGGGATTAGTGCCAGTAATAACTGCCGATTGAATTACCAAAATTGACACTTACTATCGAACACCAATTAATTGAACACAAAACATTGAAGCATACATAACACTTAGTTCGCAATTATATCGCTTTGAAGTCACGGCCTTCGTGGCCCTAAACGGCTTTATATAGGGCCTCTTCCACTGAAACATCTAGAATGTTTCAGCAAATCCAGGTCCTGACCGACTAGGTGTAGAAAGTTCGGGTGTGGAATTTTCTAGAAAGCTTATTTTTTCTACACGATACTAGATGGTGCTAGTGTCATGTACCAGGCATCAACTATGGCGCACAACAATATGTTGCTACTGCAGCCCATGGACATCTGTAACCATCTGTAAACAAAATAGGCTACTGATGCCTTGTCACCTCTGTGGACTAAGATGTAATGCCTCACAGCCTGTAATTGTTATGGCTTTCTATACCCTTGAGACCGCAACACAGCAGTGCATGACTAACTGCTTGGAGGCAGAAATAAGCTTAAAGGGTACCTACCTACCAAGGCGGACTCTTAGACAGAACAAAAGTACAACCGCCTAGTACCACAAACAAAAATTTTTAATGCCTTTCACCCCGAGACTACGGATTGCCATTTGGCACGATCCTGACACACCTCTCTTTCCCTATTCCATTTGGAACAATCCTGATATACGTACATACTTAAATAAAACTAGTTTTATGGATTTTATCGTGTATATTAACTTATTTTATAGTCCCGACGTTTCGAGCACTTTACAGCACCCATTATCACGGGAGGGGGGGGGGGGGTTGAGGTGTTCGACATTCCAATGTCAGTCCAGATTAAAATCATTAGTTTTATTCAAAATGTATTGTGTTTGCTTAAAAATAGGAAATCATTATGTATATATATGTCCCATCCGACCCATTTTCAATAAATCGCCAATTAGGTCGATAAACTTCCATCTAGGGTCTATGGGATTACCGTGGGGCGTTAAGGCCGCGAATGTATGCGAAAAAGTTGGAACACCATTGGGTTTTAGTCAGCGTGAGTCCGACATAACTCGTTTTTGTCTCCGCAAGGCGGGTATGCGTAGACATTTTCCCCATGAAAAAAGGCCCTTATTTGCCTACTCAGCCACTCACGTCTGCAGCATAAATTTGTTTTGTCACTCTTTCTGACTTACGGAATGCATCAGTAAAAGTTACTGAAATCGATTAACAATAAACATGTCAAATAACAGGTAAAAGAAAATTAAAGATCGATCCTAAAAGTGTACCTTGAGGCAGGCTTAGAAAGAAAGTAAGAGGACAGTCTTCATAAAACAAATCTTCTAATTCTGCAGAATGCGGCACGTTAACGGCAAAATTTACACCTCTTGTGCTGGGAGGGGAGACAGCAAATTTTGGTGATGTACCATGGCATGCAGGAATATACAAAAAGCATTCAACCACGGGAGTACACGAGCAAATCTGTGGTGGTTCGCTGATCAGCAACACTGTCATTTTAACAGGTATTGCAATTAAGCCTAAGTTTATGGTTTCTAGTACTAGATTATTCCTGCTGCTTTTCGCGCGTGAACTTAGCTTTACCAAATACTACGTATAACACTTAAGCTAGAAAACGCAACTTATTTTCAAATCATTATTGGTACTATAACGCGAAAAGTTGGATAATTTTAGTTTTTGGTTTTTGTTTTTGTATGTATTATTGTATATTATTATTTTATCATATTAATTTCCGGTATGTTCGGACAGCTGCCCATTGCTTTTGGAACGAACACAAAAAAAAGATTGAGGACGAATCTAATTACGCAGTGGCTGTTGGGAAGCTTTATCGGGAATGGTATAATCCCAAAGATGAACACTACGCGCAGAAATCAAATGTAAGTAATCACAAATGACTTACAGAACGCATCTGCAATTCTTCCGTTGTCCCAGATGAACATCTGGCTAGTATAGTATAGTAGTGGTCATTAGTAATTTATATTATTGTTACGTAGCTTTTTTATAGCATAAGGGTGACAAATGAGCACACAGTCCACCTCATAGTAAGTAAATGCTGTGGCCCATAGACATCTACATTTATTCTCAATTAAGAATCAAAATGCAGATGCGTTGTCACCCCTGAAAACTAAGATGGAATGCCTCGTTTCCAGTAAAAACGGTTTCTGGCTCTCTACACTCACCATACGTAACAGGGCAGCATTAAGCTGCTATTTTACGTTAGTATTCTGTGAGAGTGTGTCGTACCCCAGTCAAGCCGAACAATTCGTGCTACAACTATAATATAGTTGCAGCGTGGCTGACCACGTAAAAATAAAACCACTGCAAAACGTAGAGTGCAACGGAGCCTTGAATGCAAATTCTTGCGAACGTAGTTCTTCCCCGTCAAGTTGAACCATTCGCGCTGCAGACATACTACACAGCAGTTTGGCTCTTTCATAATAAAATCAAATTTACTGTTGCCAGTGATTTTTCTACACCGATAAGACGTTAAATAGAACTTTTTTAAGATAAAAGCTTCTCTAAGCCACTCTTTGATAAAGGGTTGAAGACCGTCGCCGCAAATGAAATTTCTCTAGTATTGCTGATGTTAATGGGTGGTCGCTGGTCACTTCGAGGAGTGGATGTGTAGCAAAACTTATTACTACCTCCATTTGCAGTCACTAAAAGGCCATTATTAATGAACCCTGGTGATTGAGGTATTACATTTTTTTTAAATATTTTTATAGATATCAAAGATCGTAGTACCGAAGCTGTTTCGAGGGATAGAACTGGACTACCATCACGACATTGCCGTGGTGATAGTGTCGAAACCATTCCTATATAAGTTGTACGTTCGACCGGTTTGTTTGGACTTCAGGGAGGATTTCAACAACGAACAACTGAAGACCGGTAAATTAGGAAAGGTAACTGTCTTTTTATCCTACCTCCTAGTATAAGAGTTCAGTTTTGATTGCCTCGTTGATCGGTAGCGTGAATGCTGAGCATGATGTTCTGGGTTCAAATCCTGTGTTCAAATCAGTTATTGGGGTTTTATGTAAAGAAAGAGTCAAAGAGGGTAGGGTGAGTGGCACATCGCCATAACGACACTCCTCCTCCCTCGTGAATTCACCTCTGCAGCGGCGGTAGGGGGAGAGGACACCTCTCTCGCAACAATCCCAACTCACATCCGAAAAGGGTTCGACATGTCCACTCGGAGTGGCCAACTCGGGCCGGCCCCTTACCTCGGGCCAGCTATGTGGGTTCCTTTTAATTCATCATGTGTGGCCAAGCCACAGCTACTAAGCCCCCAGCAAGGCGGGAACATGTTCGGACGGATAGCTGTTTATCCTGTCCAACTTTCTCAGGTTATATCGGATTGTCGCCCTATTGGACTATGAGAATGGCATAGAGTGTGCACTGTGCTTTCGCATAAACTTATACAATGTACTTTTTTCCCGCGCAGATGGCATCTTTTCGTTTAGACTGGCTGCTGTGACCGAAAATTGGTATGGAGGACATTATTATAACAGTTCAGAGCTTGTTATAGGCCTCTTTGACAAAGTCGTTTTTGGGGAAGGACACCCCCGGACCGATACCCCCGGTTCCTAAAAAAAGTGCCGATTCCCGAAACTCTATTGGCTTCGGATCTCTAGCCTTACTTGTTTGAAGTTGGTTGCAAGTGCGACTGCAGTAGTTACTTACCATCAGGTGGACTGTAAGATTGCTTGTCAATTAAATTTGGTACAAAACCTAGTGTCGGTTCCCGAAGCTCTATTGGCTACGGATCTCTAGCCTTACTTGTTTGAAGTTGACTGCAAGTGTGACTGCAGTAGTTACTTACTATCAGGTGGACTGTAAGATTGCTTGTCAATTCAATTTGGTACAAAAACTAGTGTCGGTTCCTGAAACTTTATTGGCTACGGATCTCTAGTCTTACTTGTTTGAAGTTGGCTGCAAGTGTGACTGCAGTAGTTACTTACCATCAGGTGGACTGTAAGATTGCACGTCAATTCAATTTGGTACAAAAACTAGTGTCGGTTCCTGAAACTCTATTGGCTACGGATCTCTAGTCTTACTTGTTTGAAGTTGGCTGCAAGTGTGACTGCAGTAGTTACTTACCATCAGGTGGACTGTAAGATTGCACGTCAATTCAATTTGGTACAAAAACTAGTGTCGGTTCCTGAAACTCTATTGGCTACGGATCTCTAGTCTTACTTGTTTGAAGTTGGCTGCAAGTGTGACTGCAGTAGTTACTTACCATCAGGTGGACTGTAAGATTGCACGTCAATTCAATTTGGTACAAAAACTAGTGTCGGTTCCTGAAACTCTATTGGCTACGGATCTCTAGCCTTACTTGTTTGAAGTTGACTGCAAGTGTGACTGCAGTAGTTACTTACTATCAGGTGGACTGTAAGATTGCTTGTCAATTCAATTTGGTACAAAAACTAGTGTCGGTTCCTGAAACTTTATTGGCTACGGATCTCTAGCCTTACTTATTGGAACTCGGCTGCAAGTGTGATTGCACTAGTTACTTACCATCAGGTAGACTGTAAGATTGTTTGTGAATTTAATTTTGTACCAAAAACACTCTAATATTATTTCCATTATCATTCTAGGCTGCTGGTTGGGGTCTCACTTCCGAGTATAGAGGGTCACAGTCCCAAGAACTGAAAGTAATAGACCTGCCATACGAAGACGAAGAGAGATGCCTGAACGTGACTTCGCGACCTTTGCTGCAGTACGTTGTATACGACAAGATCTGCGCCGGCTCGTTAGAGGGTATTTCGAATTTTATTTATTAACTAACTTACGATTAGATGCAGATGGCTCAGGACCGTGCTTTGTTGCATTCCTTGAGGGAGGCCTATATTCAGAAGTGATGATGATGAATGATGATGTATGATGATCGTAGTCTTAGCGTAACAAAAACCTGTTCAGATAATAGAATCGGGCGTTACTTTTACTACCGAATTGATATTAATTTTAACATCTTTTAAAGCTTTTAGTGAGTATTCACTCTTACCTTGAAGGCACTTAAACTGTTCATTTACTATATCCCATATTCCCAATACTTCGAAGTCATGTGAAGTTCGCCAACACGCATTGGGGCAGCAACTTCCTTGCCCTAAAACCCTCTCAGAAATGAGGGGAGTCCTGTGCCAATCAACTTTATTTTTTTAACTGCATCCCATCACAAGACAATTATCAAAGGGGGAATTTAAAATAGTAACGGTGTTTGGTAGTGTTGGCAACCGCAGTCTTTGTTTCCCCTCCTACGAAGTCCACGAGATGATATAGGGCATTTGATTCTATTGTGCTGCCACTACACGGCAGCTCATAGTGTAATGGATGGAAAGACTGCTAAAAATCACTCTTGTTTTGCGGCGGATATCAATATCTCGGATTTTATCACGCAGACAAACCCTGAGCATAGCTGTAGTAAGTTAAATTATGTAATGCAACACTCAATGATATTACAGGTGAGGCTCTATGCAGAGGCGACAGCGGTGGCGGATTGGCTTTCCCCTCCGAGATATCCGGGGTGGAGAGATATTATCTACGGGGCATCGCTTCCACAACCCCCTTGCTGCGTAGCGACATATCGTGTAACGTCAACTCTTTGACTAGTTTCACATCCATCATAAAGTACCAGGAGTTTATAAAGCGATATTGGTACCCATAACTTACAGTTTTAATGGTCTTCTAGGCTGTGCGCCAGTTAGACCTGACCTGACCTGGCCTGACCTGACTTGACCTGACCTGACCTAAACTGACCAGACCTGACCTGATCCTGACTTTGACAGCAACAGATACAAACTCCATCGAACTACCAACCGCAATGTATTGAAATGTGTTGAAGTATTTTTTTTATTTTTTTATTTTTTTTTATTTTAAAAAGTATATTATTTTATAAAGTATATTGCGAAGAAGTGGCCGCCTCAATTAATATTTAAAGCGTCACTTTTAGTCAGAGACCTGATACCAAAGAATTGATACCTACATAAGTATATTGGGCTAGCAACGTAAATTTAGATTTATTAAAAAAGTTGGTTTAATAAAATTAATTAAACAGATTTTTTTTACATAATATTTATATATTGCTGTAATGTAAATAAACACGTGTATGAAAAATGTTGTTTTTCAATTTTATTTCCCACCAAATTTAAGTACCAGCAGAGATTTTTTCGGACCGATACGACTTAGGGACCTTCAAGAAAAGAGCCTACTCCTTTTTAAAAGGCCGGCAACGCATTTGCAATTCCCCTGGTGCTGCTGTTGTTCATGAGCGGCGGTAATCACTTACCATCAGGTGAGCCGCATGCTCGTTTGCCCCCTCTCCTATAAAAAAAGTATGACGAGATTGTCAACCAGCACATTTTAAATTACTGACACCGTGGAGACCATCACCATACAGGCGCACTTGTGTGGGACATAGCCATCGCAACCAAGTCTATACGCTATAGTTATACGTAAAACGTTATTGTGTTGATATTTGTCTAGTTGTGGTGAAGATAGTGCATGAAACCAAACACCTGACTACGGCCTAGTTAGTGCTTCTATGCGTAAAAGTAAAGTAAAGTAAAGTTACAGCCTATATACGTCCCACTGCTGGGCACAGGCCTCCTCTCATTTCTGAGAAGGTTTTAGGGCAAGGAATAGCCCGCGGCGCTGCCCCAATGCGTGTTGGCGAATTCAGATGTCTTCGAAATATTTTTTTTTCTTATTTCTCAGACATGCAGGTTTCCTCACGATGTTTTCCTTCACCGCCGAGCGCGTGGTAAATCAGCACTTAATATTGCAATTAACAATGTTATTGGTGCCGGCGGGGATCGAACCCGGTTTGCTCGCTTACTGTGAAATTTACAGCGAGCGCTAACCATCTAAGGTATCTATCACATGAGCTGTGATGATCCTGATAATTATCAACAGGATATTAGGATGAGTTATTAAATTATTGTGTTATCATCAGTTCTTTATACGCGTACAAATTTTGAAGTCATCCGGCCGTCAACTAGTTGGTGGAAATTACATTGAAATATTCCGTTACATAGATATCTATTTATCTACCTAACTATATAATAAATTCCCCTCTATGAGGCAATCTATCAATTTCCTTCCAATATTTACATAAAAAGATGTTATTTCTACTAAGCTTTCATTTGATTCACGTATATACGTGTCACGTGCCACGTATCACGTAAATAGCTTAATAGAAATAACATCTTTTTATGTAAATAATTTGAAGGAATTTGATAGATTGCCTCCTAGAGGGGAATTTTGCCATAGTTAGCACGCTTTGCAAACGGGTTGGCTACGGCAGTTTTTTCTTATAGAATAAGGGTTACAAACGTGCACACAATCCACCTGATGGTAAATGGATGCTGTGGCCCATAGATATTTACATTTATCCTCGATTAAGAAGCAAAACGCAGATGCGTTGTCACTCCTGAGGACTTAGATGGAATGCCTAGTTTCCAGTAAAAAAAATGTCTCAAGACATACAAAGATGCACTCACCATACGAAACACAGCAGTATTAAGCTGCTATTTTACGCTGGTGTTCTGTGAGAGCATTCGTGCTACAACCATAATATAGTTGCGGCGTGGCTCTAGCACGTATAAAATTTTAATTTTAGTCGTTATTAAGAAGACGCTGCTGCCCATATCCTGATTTGACTCCCTCTGTCACCTATTACGACACCCACGGGATGATATGGGGTAGTGATTAACCTTACACCGTCATTACACGCTTTAGAAAGAGCTATACTTGCATAGAATACCAGCGTATAATAGAAGCATAATGTTGTGCACGTAGAATACTATAATACACAATAGAATGGCTGTCAACTTTATTTTGTCGCCAAACCCGATTCGCTGTGTTTACAGAATGAATAAATTTACACATTTTTTATGGGATAGGGCGACAAACGAGCACACACCTGATGGTAAGTGGTTGCTGCGGCCCATAGACATCTACATCTATCCTCGATTACAAATCAAAATGCAGATACGTTGTCACCCGTGAGGACCAAGATGGAATGCCTCGTTTTCATTTTCTAAATAATTTGCATGCGAAATTTGGCAACGATTGTAACGTCAAAACACATCTCGTGTTGACATTTATACGAGTGAATTGACGTGTTAGTGACATTTTAGTGGCTACGCGGGCTCCGCCCTCTCCCCCGTTCTATTAAGTATGTATTCTATGATTGTGCATGTGCGAATGTGAGTGACCATTATAGTTTGACCGGTTTGCTCGCGTATTGTGAAACTTACAGCGAACGCTAACCATCTGAGCTACCACGGCTCTATCTATCGCTATCTATCTATCTATCATCTTCTATGCGTGCTAAGTCAGAATATTATCCCATTCTCTTTGTATTTCTAGTTTAATTGGAATATCTTGATTAGGTTACCGTCGAAACCACTCCCTCATTGCCTCACCAACGAATGGAATAACGAAACCATTTTTGGTTAGTATTTGCGTAACTACATTCATAGATCCGTATGCTGATGCAAGTAAGGCTGTCAGAGTATCCTGCAGCCACCTAATTCCAGTGCCACCATAATATCTTATAGGTAAGGACACCAACATCATTGCATATCATGTTCAAAGCATTTTATAGAATTTGTGTCAAATTAGATTAATTTTAACAGTGGTAGAGCTATGCGGCAGCTATGTTGTTGCACGTATTAGCCGGCTCAAACCCGGGTGGTACCAGGATCTCACAGAATACCGGCGTGAAGTGAAAGCTCTGCTTCCGCGTTTGGTCTGATGAGTGAAGGTGGCCGGAGGCCCAATTCATGATAACAAACAAAACACGATAGCGGAATTAAATGTCAGACTATACCAGCACCCCTGGAGAATTTCTCGTTGAGGTTCCACGACCAAGCTATGCTACTCCTGAGCGTAGGTGCTCAGGCTGCCCCGTGTATGAGTAGGTGGGTGGGGGGCGCCGGCAAAATTCCGCTCAAGACAATAGCTTGGTCAATACAACTCAGCTGCTCGGGGCAAGCTGAGTTGTATTGACCAAGGGGACCCCTGCCACGCTATCCATGAATTTCTGCAATATCAGGAAACTTCACTCTCACCTAAACGCCGTCCACTACCATCTCGAGACGGCGAGGCCGGGTCTTCTTTTTCTGACCGAGACGCAGGTATCCTCTCCGGCTGACGCTTTGTATCTCTATTCCTAACCGGGGTACAAACTGGAACACTCCTTTGTGCCTCGGGCTGGAGTTTGCGTATACGTACGGACATCTGTTCTCGATGCTTCAGCAGCTTTGAAGGTTCGGACCTGTCCATCCTTTGGCTACGCGTAGACAGCGATGACCATCCGCGCGTACGGGTGCCTCTATAGGTCCCATAGCGGTAATGTCGAAACAGGCCGACTCTTCGACCACGTCCAAATAGCTACAGATTCGTTGCTACAGCAGATCCCCTCCGCAGAGATCGTGATCCTCGGCGATTTTAACGCCCACCACGTGGAATGGCTTGGTTCATGCTTAACCGATCGTGCGGGGAGATCTGTTTATGATTTTGTCTTGGCATATGGTCTGACACAACTGGTTACTTCGCCTACGCGGATTGCAGATATGGAGCATCATGCACCTTCCCTGTTGGACCTTCTCTTGGTTCCTCGGATCATTGTCTTGTCCGGAGTGTGGTTCCACTCACGCTGAAATCGCTGTTGCATTCTGCAGGCTGCCGCCGTGTTTGGCACCATAGAATACTATAATACATACATAATAGAACGGGGGAGTGGGCGGAGCCCGTGTAGCCACTAAAATGTCACTAACACGTCAATTCACACGTATAAATGTCAACATGAGATGTGTTTTGACGTTACAATCGTTTCCAAATTTCCCATGCAAATTATTTAGAAAATGCTAAATGGCACGCTATTTACAAATTAATATGTATTAAAATCAGTCTGTCAACACAGCAAATCGGGTTTGTAGTAGTGATAATACGACGTTATTGCTTGTATGTGTGCTCCCGGCGACGCCTATCGTCGTATAAAGTAAGGTTGGCAGCCATTCTATTGTGTATCTATAGTATTCTATGTTTGGCACCATAGGTCATTAGATTGAGATAGGATGCGGTCTTTCATTGTATCCTACCCTTGGAGACGGGTTTACTTCTCGCCGGACGATCCGAACGTTGTTCCTGATTCTGTCGATGGTGTATGGAACTTTTTATTCCTTCCTCTGCGGTGCCCGTCGGAGGCAGATCTCAGTCATGGTTTAGTTGCTCCAGTAACTGTAATTGCATCATGCAGGAGCAGGAGTGCAACCGGGCCTGGGCTGACGCATCAACGTCCCGGGATGTAAATACCAGCGCCCTAAAAAAGAAGAATAACTCCGCCTCCAGGTCCTTCAAAAGAGTCATTGTCAGTCAGCGAGGGCAAAGTCGGAGCACATAGGCAGAATTGATGAGAAAATAGTTCACCTTCCTTCTGGAACCCGTGCATTCTGGTCTCTCGCCAAGGCTGTCCTGGGTAATTGCTGTCAGCCATCTCTTCCATCTCTGCACAGGGAGGACGACTCACTGGCCCATGCGGCGAAGGAGAAAGCCGATCTGCTAGGCTTTTTCTTTGCGTTCAACTCAACTCTCGACGACGGGAGCAGCACACCGCCAACCATTCCGCGGTTTGAGTGCTCCATGCCGGATGTGTGGTTC